TTTTTTTTTTTTTTTTTTTTTTTTTTTTTGGTTAAAGGAGTAATAACCCTCTTCCTTCAACGAGGGAAGTTCATGCAGAGTATCAGAGTATGGGATCAGCAGATGGCATAACTATTCCCAGTCCCCGCAGACAAAGGAAAGCAGAAGCCCCTGCACAACTGAACGTACCTTCCACGGCGTAATGGCCCTCTGCAGAGGCATCAGACTTGCAATATAATGCTCCTAAGAAGAAATTTTTAAAAAATTCAAAAAAAAAAGCTCCAACAAGTGAGGAGCCTCTTGTGTGGTCACCGAGTCTGACAGTCTTCTCCAAAGCATCACAGGCCCAGCCAGCAGGCTCCTACTCTCCCGGGGTTTTTATTTTATAATTGCATTTTTACACAAGCCTGAGCGTTCCAGCTCGTTTCCCACCAGGTGCCAGGTCACAAAACCACGCTGCAAGAATCCTAAGTGCGGCGTGTGAGAAAAGGCCAGGTGGGAAGAAGCTGGCAGGAGGGACTGGAATCTGAGAAGATGCTCAGTCCTCCCACGTGATACCTGCCAAGATGATGGAGAAACACGAGTGGAGGAGCCAAACTTGGCCGACAGGACGGTCACCAAAACAGCACCAGCAGGTCTGCGGTGGGACTGGAGGGGGAGGGCTTGGAAGAAAGCATTTGCTAAAGTGTGCCTTCGGGGGGTGATCGCCACGGGGACAGGCTCTGAAGCTCTACAGCAGAGCTTCCCAAAGCCAGAAGGGCAGGTTTGGCACTGGCAGAGGGGAAGAGGAATGTTCTGGGCTCCCGTCCCTTCCCTATGTACCTGCTTTGCCTCCCTGCTGAAGAGAGCAAAGGGTTGGCGTTGGAACCAAACAGGGAACACCTATTCCTGCATGGCAGGAAGCCACGTTCCGTCTTCACACGCGGCCTGCTGCATACCCAACCTGCAGATCCAACACTAATGACTGACATTTGCATTCAAGAGCCATTTAGCTCCTTTCCACGGAGTAGAAGATCTCTCTAGAGGGCCACTTCCTGCATCTATTACAGCTGCTCAGGTAGGGGTGAATAAAAGAGGGCAAGTGCCAACTCATCACTCAAGCACCTCCCGTTGGCCTCCCCGTGCTCTGACAAGTCTCTGCTCAACTCACCAGGGGAATAATGAAGCTCTGGGTGAGCTCCAGGAGGTGACGCCTCAGCAGAGCACTCTGGACTTCGGACGGGCGCTTCCGCTGGATCCCCTGCGAGCACAAGAGCGTGTTCACAAAGCGGCTCCTGCCTCGGGCAGGTGGACGCAGAACGTGCAAATGCTATAAGGAACCAGTCCAGAGGAGTCTGGAAACCTGCACCGCCCCAAATCCATCCTCCCCCCACCTAGTTAAACGCATCACTCCCGTCGCAACTACACAGAATCTCTTTTTTCAGGCTCTTTTTTTGATAAGGATTGTTCTTAATTTGGTTGTGAGCTCGGAGCCAGTGTTTAAGCCGTAATATCAGCTCAATAATTTTAAAACTGGTGTGATAAACGTGCCCAGGTATACTTGACTAAATCACTACACACAGCAAAAAGTCTGTTCTCTCTGGAGTTTTATGGGTTAAGCCAGGCTGTTTGCACGGTTTCCCCACAATGGCACGCAGGATGCAGGACAGAGTGGAAAGCGCCTACCTTTAGTAATCTCTTTATCAGGGTTTTGTCTTTGTGAAGGAATGTTTTGTAAGAAGTATAGATTCCTAGATTGAAAAAAAAAACAACATAAAACCAGGAAAAAAAGCGGAAATTAGAAACAAATCTTTGCCCACGTATCTAGAGGAGGCGCTACTACATAGTGCGGGGACAGCAGAACCGAAATTCCTAGCACAAACCCTGGCAGCTCTGCGTGTGGATAATTAAAAAAAAATAATTTAAAAATGAGGAATTTGCTAGTGCAGCCACTACTCACAGCAGGGTTTAAGGACACTGAACTATCTGAAGGACCTTCCTACGCTAAGCTTATGGCGAGATAACTTACTGGAGCCAGCTTACGGCTAGGCCCGAGGTGAACAGTTAGTTCAGTGACAGCTCTCTCTGGGTAAGCAAGTTCCTTTGACTTCCATCGCATCTAAAAAGCAGGCGTGATACGTTAAATGAACCCAGGAAAATCAGAAGCTGTTCTCCCAACACTAAAATAATTCATTCGATTCCTTCATATTGGCTTTTTCCAACCTCAGAACAAAGATGTACAGTTTTTCTGTACTGAGGAGCAGGTAAGTGTGTGAAGGTGAGAAGGAGCGAGAAGATGGTAACACCAGAATGTCCATTTGTTGAGATGCAAAGAACAAGGTATGCCGTGTCCTCACGCCTGCAAAATCCCCCCCGTGGAAGGGGAAACAAAATTAAATAATGTCGGACAAAGGGACCTACCTGGTTTCGTGTCTAGAGTTTTCAGCTTAGCTAGCTTCTTCACCTTAACCTGCTTGGGCAGGTCTCCTGCAGAAAGACACCGAGTGACTGTTGCGGCTCCGGACCCGCCCTCACAGCCACGGCACGGCGAGCCCCCGCACCGAGAACGTCCACCCTTGGACACCTCCAGCCAGATCCTCCCTTAACTCTACCCCCGTGTGAGCCTTCTCATCTGCTAACCTTCCTGCTGAAATTCTGGAACATGTTAAGGAGGCATTGCAAAAAAACCCACTCCTCAACCTAGAGGTTTTCTTGGCTTCATAGGTAATAATATGTAAAATAATCTTCATAGATAATAATCTTCATAGATAATAATCTCTATAATAATCTTCAACTCTCTGTAACTTTCTCCTTCCTGCCCAGGATGGACTTCTCCTTTTCTTAAAGCTTCAGGAAAAAAAAAAACAAACAACAAACCCACAGCAAGTTATCCTCTCAACTTGTCTTCCTCATTGCTTGTGCTCACCCTGAGCATCACCTGGGGCAGAGTGGAGACCTCCCTTCCGCTTCTCAGCTCTCAGAGGGACGCAGAGGTGCGAAACAACAGCTAATGCTGCAGCTCTCAGCTCACTACTCGCCCCTAGCAAGGCCTACCAGCATGACGGGACTTTGGTTCCGGCCTTACCTGACATTCTGAGCTCCCCAACCCGAAGAATGTGCGGCCAGTGCTGGAGAGTTTTGATAAAGAAAGGGTTTGTGACTCCCACAACAATGTTTGGCCTAGAAAGAGCGGGGGAAAAGAAAAGCAGAACAATGCTAACCTCAGGGTTTCCTTCACACAGCCGGCAGTGAGCAGGTAGCAAGGGTCTCCTGGCTACTTACGGCGCTTGTGTCCTGGTGGTGTACTCCTTAAATTCGCTGTCATGGATAGTGAAATAGGGGCGGTAGTCGCAGCAGTACCTCAGAGGAGCAAGGCAGCTGTAACAACAGACAGGGGAGTTGCCAGACAAACTTCACAGAAGAGGAATGTGTATTTACATCAGGTTTATGTCCTAGAGCAGTTTTGTCCTGACAGAGGTAACACTTTGGAGGAGTTTGGGGCTTTTTTTTGGTTTTTTGCTCAAGCAAAGTTCAAAGCCAGGGAGACAAAGTTCCTCGGGGCTGTGAACCGTCAGGTCTCCCAACATGGGAGATCCCCTTTTCTCCACCACTGGTGGGATACGAGCAAGACTCTCTTGCTGCGCCTTTTGCCTTACACGCAAACTAAATCTAACACAGCTGACTCGGGAGGAGAGAGGATCTGAAAGAGAGAAACTGTCAGAATTCATGAGTACGGTTACCAGTATGTCAGAATTCGAGGGCATTACCTGGTGAGTGCCAGAACCATTTCTGAGGACACGGTAGGGGATGGTGCCATTACAACTATGGGCTCTCCTAGTAACATCAGCTCCCACAGCATCTGGATGTGAATTAACACCGGCTGGAAACACCTGTCAGTGACAGGAAGGAGTTAGAAACGCAGTTCAGAAAAGACCAGACACAATTGCCGTGTGTGAGCCTATCCAGATGGGCTTCTGGCTGGGAATTTGGGATCTAGGATTGATTTTTAGGCCCCCACAACAGAATGCCATGTGGCTTTACACACGCTGTTGCTCGATCAATTTAGAGGTGTTTAAAGGAAACGCTCTGAGCAATGTAAAGCACTGGGCTGGTCGTGCTGCTCTCAAAGCAAAGATGATGCACGTGGATTACAGGAGATGTCTGTGAGAACAGCACCTAGAATGCTGAGAAGTTTGATTCAGACGGGTACGCTTCAGAGCTTAAGCTGATCACAGCTGAGGCCGAGAAAAGAAACCCTCCTCTCACCAGCATATGGGGGTTCTGTGGGGGGCAGCACACCCAGGCTTAAACACTGCACGAGCTCTGCGAACCCGGATTCTAACTGACACCCTGCAAAGCACTGATTTCTTCTTCTTCATCATCCCTATAATTTATAGAATACTCTGAGGAGGGAGAGGGGGAAGCAGACGGAAGAGGAGAAGGTTGCAAGGATGGTGGCTCTCACCTGAAGAGATCCAGTTCGTGAATGCTGGGGAGAACCAGTGGGGCTGGTAACAGATTCTAAATGAGGAAGGAAAAAACCACAAACAAACCCAAACCTGTTAGTACATGGAAGCATCCTGACCGAAATACCATCTAACCTGACAACACCAATCCCAACGCAGCTCCCTCGACAAGCAGCACAAAAAGAAGAGAACACGGTTAATGCTTAGAGGTGTGAGCCAGGAAGAGATATGGGTTAGGCATTCAGGGTCCAAATGAATTTCCTTTGCTAGAAGATAGTCAAGAATCCCTTCTTTTCAAGGTACAAAAGACTTCCTGTGCCTGCTACTTTATTTTAGAGATAGGAAACTATCCTCTGGTGCAAGGCAGAGCTTAAGATACAGTAGAGACAATAAGGGTTGGTAATGTGGGTACCAAAAGGTGTGAAATACGAGAGCATTATCCAAAGGAGAGAAAAAGGGAAAAAAAAAAAAGAAAACAAATGAACAAGAATCAAAACCAAAGCTGAATAAAAGCAGTAAAGATGCTCAGACAGCAAATGCTGCAAAACAACAGAGAACACTAAGGTAGGGTCTCGTGAAGAGAGCCCTGCCTACCCCTGAATTCCCAGGAAAGGCAAAGTGAACCAAAACTGGGGGAACAACGCGCGCACCCGACCTGAAGCACAGCAATTCTGTGCAGCGTCCTGTTCTGAAAGACACAGGCTAGAGCGTGCAGTCTGAACCAGATGGGTAGCTTAAACCACGTTAGTCCCAGGCCAGTGTGGTTTCAAATAGGCTAAAATGGGCTGAAAGAGTGCCAGTTCTTCTCCGCCCTCCCTCCTTAGTAGTCTAGACTCATCACTGGCTTGTGTTGTGCCACACGTCATCTCACCTCCTGATTGAACTGCTTCACCGGGCTTGATCCTGGCTTATCCACCCTTGATGGGATTCTCACCTAGATTACAAATAAAACCAGAGAGATTATCCAGGGAGATGGGATCAGTCAGCATGCACACACACTGCTTGCTCTCCTAACAAACACCCACCTGAGAAAGCTTCCTCAATTCTAACTGTACAGAGGTTAGGAATAAAGGGAAAGGATCTAGAGTAAAGAGCAATTTTAGCATCCAGAAGGAAAGGGAATACGTGTCCCACTTCCCAGATTGCCTCAGTCTGTTGCTGAGTACAGACCATCACCAAGAAGTACCTGAATGACAACTCCCATCACTGGAAGGTTCAGAGTCTGTCCCGGCACAGGAGGCGGCCACTGATCGATCTCATTGCACACTGCAGAGACACAGGGAAAGAAAAAAAGTTTAATAGGAAGGTCAATACAGCTCATTCAGCCAGTCCTGTGAGTTCTGCCAATTTAATTACAGCCCATCCCTTGTTCACGTGTGCCCCTGGCTAGCTGCAGACAAACGCTCCAGCAAATAATCGTGCAAGTTTAGGTCAGACACCAGACTCGGCTGGGCCAGCAGCACGGCTCGGTCGGTCAGTCATGGTTAGGCTGACTAGTGCAATGAAGATCTAGACGGAGACGGAGCATTAGCAGTTTTTTCCTCTCTCTGGGGATATACTGTATGCAAAACTGACAGTGTAATCTATTACGGTTGTCAGACATTTCCCATTAATGCATCCCTTTACAGCTGGTTATAATTTTGACAAGCTTGGATGGAAGTTTTTTCCCTGTTGGAATTTGTTCCAGAATGAACCGATTTGGAACATTTCAGCTGTCCTTCAAGAACCTGCAGATAAAGGGTCTGAAAGATTTCAACCTGCAAAGTCTCCCTCCCAGATCCGACTGCTCACCTGCCTCCAGGCACGGCTCCAGCTTGTCGAAGTATTCCGGAGCAATCAGCTGCAGCAGGGACTGGAACAAGTTCACGTATGGAAGGCGTGACACCAGCACCAGTGACTGAAAAAAGGTACATTTAGGAGTCACAGACCCCCTGACGCGATCACTTCTAGCGCTGCATACACTTATACTGCTTACTAGAGGGCTACACCTAAAAACCAACATGAAAACCATGGGAGAGCTCCAGCACTTTTACTGGTGGAATTCTTGCCAGCTCTGTAGTCGTCGAGCCTTCCGGCTTCAGGAGACCCTGGGTATCAGCACAGACAAGGAGATTTTTCTTTGATGAATAAGCACTGCTGGTAGCTTCTACCAACTAAGAGGGATGGGATTGTGACCTACCAAAAGATCAGCTGGAGGGAAAACAAAAATAAATTCCTGATAGGTTCAAAGCGACCAAACCAACCCTATCAGACAGAGATGTGCAAAGGAGCAGACCACTGAAACTGAAACTAGGGAGAATAAACCAAATAAAGGAATTGTGGGGAAGAGCAAAGTAACTTGAAATAATGCTGATTTGTTGCCAGCAATGCTGGTTTTTGTCGTTGTTTTGGCTTCTTTCTAATGCTTCTTTGTGAAACATAGCACTGTTTTTTACAGCTTTTCCAAATCAGTCCCACTGGGGGTTTTTTCATTACTATGCTGATTATTCTCTTCCTCTAATCATTAACGAATACATTAACTAGGATCCAGTGGAAATTTCAGCAATGGTCATTTAAACAGCTCGTTTCCAACTCAAAACTTTGCCATTTCAAATAAAAAACCCCACTGTAGCATGACAACACACTTCACAGAGGCATTCCATGTGCCCACTGCTTTTGTACCAGTCGCTCTGTGGTAGACTTACAACTATCTGCTCTGAGGTCCCCATGTTGCCCAGTTTCTCTCATCCTCCAGCTTTCTGAGCGATCAACCCACCACTTTAGTGGAGATGGGGAAACTCATTTCTGTATTAGCGTCTCTGAAAGGCACTCCATGTCACCGGCTGGAGGTGGAGGAGTGAAAGTACAGCTGGGACGGAGCAGCATCCCCACCTCCTGACGGATCTGCTAGGAAGCAGCACTCTTTGAAGAGCAGGTTTGAAGAGTAATTCCACAGACCCATGGAGAAAAAGGGATCTCAGGATCAAAGTAAAATATTTTCCTTCTCTAGAAGAAGTCTGAAATTCCACTCTCTCTCAGGCAGTGACCATAACAATCCATCTGAATAATGCAAAGCACTCGGTGCGTTTATGCTGAAATAATTATGCAGTTTATATTATTTTTCCAGTGTCTGTGTGAAAGGAATTTATGATAAGAGACAAGGTTGGTGAGGTACCAGCAGTGCCACTGCTGCTAGACAGAAGCAATCAGCCCAGCTGGAAATCCATTCCCAGACAGGTACTAGAAGAAGATGAAAGCAACAATAAGAGCAGGGGTAAGGCGTCACTCGCCCGGCCCGCAGTAACGAAGCAGCTCCTCTCACTACCTGACGCTAGAGTACGTACTGAAGCAACTGCTGGAGTCCTTCAGGATCTCATGATTCAGACAGCAGGTCACCGCTCATGTGATTGAGGCACCATGGCAACGGCACCCAGGTTTGTTTGGAACGACACTTTCCACATATTCCTGTTCGCCCTGACCTTTGCCGTTTCCTGCAGAAACACTGGGGGTGGCACGTAGGAAGTGGTGCTATTTTACAGCTATGGATAGGTGCCTTTTTACAGCTACGTTACCAGCTGGGAGTAGAGAGCTATCTGGTTGCAGTACTCACCTTCTGAAAATAACCTCTCTTCATGGAGCTGTCCTTGACTTGCCTGAAGTATACGTAACCGAAGTAATGAGCTGACTCCCGCTGCAGGAGAGACCAGCATGGCCGTTACTGAGAACCCTGCTATGGCCACCCACCAAACAACGCGCCTCCCCCCTCCCAGGATACAGTTACACCCTCCCTCCTGCTTACCAAAGTCATCCAGGCTCAGCTCTCCGGGAGAGAGAGAGAGGAGACACAAACTAACCCGATAAAACCTGACAGCCTCCAGGTAGCAGCTGCCCCTTTGTGCAGCCCCTTCAGGGCCATCGTCTAAAGGGTTAATTGAAGTTGGCAGAGCCAACCCTCTGAGCTCATCCCTGCCGCCACGGATGTGCTGGGACCCTCTGAGCTCATCCCTGCCGCCACGGATGTGCTGGGACCAGGTTTTCTTTGCCAGCTAGAGGGTGGTGTACGGCTGAGGAAGGAATACCTCCTCTTCCCAGCGGAGGGACCCACCGCGCCCCTCAGCCGGGCGTTTAAAGGCGGTACCAGCCCAGCTCTGCTCAGGGTGAAGCACAAAGCTGGATGTCGCTTCCTTCAGAGCACCCCCCAAAATTGACAGATTGAACACAAATCCCCGGCGACCCTTTCAAACACGCTAAGCCCCCTGAGTTCCCACAGACATCAAGGAGGAGGAAGGATAATTGTCAGTGCTGAACACAAAGACCATCCTTAATATCATTTTCTAAAGCCCCACGGGCCCCATGAAGGCACCTTTCCCTTCCCAAATATTATTTTTCCACAATGAAATCCAGGACTTTTGACAGCTTTGCTTCCCTTACTTTAAAGCTAGGTGAATCTGTGAGGCAGTGTCCGATTGCTACAGAGCAGTATAGA